CCTCAGCCTCCCGAGTAGCTGGGATTACAGGCACCCACCACCACGCCCAGCTAATTTTTGTATTTTTAGTAGAGACGGGGTTTCACCATGTTGGCCAGGCTGGTCTCAAACTCCTGACCTCATGATCCACCCTCCTTGGACTCCCAAAGTGCTGGGATTACAGGCGTGAGTCACCACACCAGGCCTTCCATTTCTTTAAGAGAGAGAGAAGTTGAATTTGTTTCAAGAAAGAGTATTCAAAATTGGTTCTACAAAGATAGGTCCGTAAAGGGGCAAGTTTCCATTATTTGGGAATTACACATTCTTTGAATAATCTCACTGTTTCTGAGCATTGCTACAAGGAAAGTTTGCTTCGAGATGAAATTTGCTTTACTCATGTTGGTCACCTACTCTGTTTGCCAAACCTGATTCCATATGCTCTTTGGTTATTTCCCATAATGAAATTCTCCCTTAAAAGATACAGAATGCCACATATTATTTCATGACTCTTGGTCCTCCATGTAAGGAATGAGGACTTGCCTTTGAAATTTATTCTGCATAGTTTTGTTCCTGAAGTTTCATAGACAATAAAAGATATAGTAAAATATTAAAATAAACATCAAGTTTTATAGACGTTATCTACCATTTAGTATCCATCGCTTCCATCTAAAAGATAATGCTACATTTCCTGTTTTCTAGTCTCTGCTTTCTGTGTTGTTGTTTGATTTTTTTCCCAAAGTCACTAAAAATGATGAATGAGGTTTCTTTTCATTATCATTTTGCTCATGTTTTCCTTCTGTTATCTGGGTTGCTAATTAGAAGTTGCAACTGTTCAAACGAGCCTGTCACAGATGCCATCTTAAAATTTTTACTTCCCTTTTTAGTTCTCTTATAGGGTGAAATCTTGATTCACAAATGCCCTGTCAGTCCCCCTTTGTGTGAGTGCATCGACTAAAATATATATATACACACACACGTATACACACACACACACACACACACACACACATACACACCTTCATGAATCATGCACAGGAGCTGTGTCTCTGGACAGCATCCATAGACCCCCACCAGGATTAGAAGTTAAACTCAAGTGCAGACACAGTTTGGAAGCCTTTTGACCATCTTCTTCAGCCCTGCTCTTGTTTCCTCTCTCAGTATACACTTCCCTCTTCAAGGTGATTGCTTTCTCATTCTACAAATGAGGTATTGTCCCTCTTTTTACTTTCTCCTCCTTCCCACACAGGACATATTGGTCATTTTAAGTTATTGTTTGAAATGTTATCTCCACCATGCCTTTTCACTTAAAGCCTTTCAGGTCTAGTTGTGACACGAACATCTTTTTTCTAGTTAGTTTAGGAAATGCTGGGCATCGCTGTATGAGGAGTGAGGCAGGAGAGAAAGAGGAGGGACCACGTACAAACAGTTACTCAATAGACTCAGAATGGCAGCTGCTGAAATCTGCCGCCGTAAACCAAATGGAGAGCCCAAGTAGGAAGATGCGAATGTTGGCAGCTGGCTCAGGCTGTCTTTGACTTCTCCCTCATTATTTTTCTTATTTCTGCCAACTCTGGCAACACATTCGACCTCAAGGGATGCATTCCTTTTTCCTGCTGAAAGTGTGGAAAAATGTCTTGTTGTCAGAGCTTTGTTGAAATAAAATTGGCTTTTGAAAGCAGCAACATTTGCTAGGAAGCTTACGAGGAGTGAGACTTGGGAGCAAGTTGATGTGGTTTGGGTTTGCGATCCGGTACAACGGCGGGGACTGAGGAGGTGTCGTTGTTCTGGGGGTCTGTCTGGCAGCACCGCTGGGGCTTCAGGGAGTGTGAATGCCTCAGTTCCAGGGCACCGTTTCTCAGGGTGGTCCTTACAGGCCAGCTACACCGGGTTCTGCTGGGCGCCGCTTCTGAAAGCATCCCGGAGTGACGAAATCAGAATAGCTAAGAATTGGCCTAGAGAGCTGCATTTTAACAAATTCTCCATGAATCTCCTGCTCCGAAATTAGAAGAGGAACTATATTCAAGGTTCTGGGACTCAGTTTTCCAGCTGCCCAGGTCATTTATGTGTGCATAGCCAGAGGCGCTTAGGGTGAGGTGACTGACTCATCCTAATCACACACATGAGAAACCGAGGCATATACCTGAAAACCAATCGGAACTTTTGCCTGCATACAGGAATCCTATGGCAGCAGAAGGGAGAACTGTTCGTAGTTCTTGAAGCTCAGTTTCATGTTTCTTAACTCTTACTCAACCTTTATATGTTATTCTTTCGTGTTCAATCCATTTTCCTTTTCCAAGAGAAGTATAAACGATTAAGATGTGTCTGTTAAACAAGGCTCGGCAGTCAGCTTGCTCCAGAAAGATCTCTGTAACCCCTGCCTACCCACCCAGGATCCTCCTCCAGGACACAGTTGTACCTTATAGGAACCTAGGTGGTTGCTCTTAATGCAACATTGCCATTTACTTGCTCATGAGTGTCTTCCTCCTAGTGGACATTGATATAGTAGACATCTCCTACTAGATCATTGTGCCTGTAATATTGAGCTGTGCCTAGTGCTGGACCTGGAGTTAATGCTTCAGAAATGACTGAAAAATGAATGGATGAGCTGAAAGATCTCGTGAGGCCTCTGATGTACATTCTCCTCAATTTTTGTGGTCTCTGCCATAAGGAATGACGGAATGTTTTTGTGTAAAATTAAAAATGTTTGTATTAGGCTCAGCTTCTTGTGATCCTTACAAAAATGTGTTTTGAGAACAAAATAAACAGGATTGGGAGAAAATTAAGATGCTTTGAGGATCTAAATACTTGTAAAGTACATTTTATTTGAAAGCCACGAAATGCTTTAAAAAGCTCCAAGTAAATGTAAGAGGAGATCCACTGGATTTTGGCTAAGTACTGAAAAAAAAAAAAACAGTTTCCTTAATTCTCTATCCAAATACTTCAACTTAAATTTACTGGTAGCTGTTTCAGAGGAAGATGAGGACACTGCAGTCCTTAGTTTGTTATAAAGAAAATGTTTTTATCTTCAAATGTTTAGAGGAAGGATTAAAGACAATTTATGACTTGGGTGAAAAGTAATAAAAGTGGTAACAATGAAGTATCTTCTAAGTTGTCATCGTTTTCTGGAATTACTAACAATATCAACCAGGCAGGCATTTCATATCTGAAAGGAATTACTTTCATTTGTTATGCTTTAATATAAACTATAACATCAATCTTATAGCTGCAATACTGAGTTGTTTGTTTCATTCTATTGTTTAAAAAGAGGAATTGATTTAGTTGTAAAGGAGATGAATTCTGTCATTAGATCTTTTGCCACAGGGATCAAGAAATATATTTATAATTCACTTCTTTCAGGAAATGAGGCTGTAATGTCTATATGAAATGCATTTTATTAAGATCAAGGCATAGTCTTTTTGGTTTCTCCAGAAATAATTCATTTTTAATTCCCAAGGAAAAATCACAGTAATAAAAAATAAGTTTTGCCTGATAGATTATCTTCCTTGTCATAGCTCTCCTTTTTATTAAAAAAAAAACCCAGTTTATAGATTTCTTACTATTTGTTTAATTAAAACAATAATAAATTGTATAGCCTTTTACAGTGCATAGAGAACTTTTTAAATAAAATTTTACTCAGTCCTTGCAACTCTGTGCAGTGATAATGAAGATAATATATAATGAAGCCTTTTCACTCTTTGAGGGAATGGTGAGGTTCAGGGGTATAAGGACACTACCGGTGTCAAAGAGCAGAGCCAGAAATTCATGCAGGACTTTGCTCCAAATAGCATCTTCTTTTAACTGTACCTCTGGTGAGTTCAGTGTTGTTTTCCTTGTCATATATGCTTAAGGAGAAATATTATTAACACTAAAATGTTATTACTGCTCACTCTCTTGTCATCCATTAAATGATTGGTTCCCATGCTAGGTGACGCTCAGTTTTTAGAGACGGCTCAAGTATTTATTGCAAGGGATTTTTATGCTTGAGTGTGTGTGGTATAGGAAGTTAATCTGAGAAAATTTGAAGTAAGCATGGCATGTACTTTTTTTTTTTGAGACGGAGTCTCGCTCTGTCGCCCAGGCTGGAGTGCAGTGGTACGATCTCAGCTCACTGCAAGCTCTGCCTCCCGGGTTCACGCCATTCTCCTCCCTCAGCCTCCCGAGTAGCTGGGACAACAGGCGCCCACCACCATGCCCAGCTAATTTTTTTGTATTTTTTTTTAGTAGAGACGGGGTTTCACCCTGTTAGCCAGGATGGTCTTGATCTCCTGACCTCGTGATCCGCCCTCCTCAGCCTCCCAAAGTGCTGGGATTACAGGCGTGAGCCACTGTGCCCGGCCGTCATGTTAATTTTTATGTGACACTTTTTTTTTTGGCGGGGGGAGGCAGGGGAGAGAGTCTCACTGTTGCCCAGGCTAGAGTGCAGAGGCACTGATCACAGCTCACTGCAGGGCATGCCCGGCTAAGTTTTTATATTTTTTGTGGAGTCAGGGACTCACTCTGTTGCCCATGCTGGTCTCGAACTCTTGGGCTCAAGCAATTCACCCGCCTTGGCATCCCAAAGTGCTGGGATTACAGGCATGAACCACTGCGCCCTGGCTGTGATACTCTTTAATTATTCTAATGCTTCTAACTTATATCATGGTGCCAATCCTATTTATGTAACAGAATCAATCTCGTATACTCTCAGCTGACGATGAGGGGTATTTCATTATTTACTTGTGTATAAGATTCCTTTTATATAGGATGAAATGCATACACACTCTGCATAGAAATTCTGATGTGTTTGTGTATTACTCCATTCAATCATACTATGATTCCAAGTTAAGAACTCCTAGATAAATGAGCCTCTGTAGTTGTAACAGTTTAGGCTTTCAATTCAAATGTCAGATAACATTCTTCTGTGTATTATATTATTTTCTCCAATAATTCAAATCTTAGTTGAGGTTTGCTCGCTTACTATAAGGTAGAATGAGGTGATCTAAGTAGGTTTTGCTTAAATACATGTGTCTTCTTCCCATCAGAGTAAAAGAAGCCGAGGAGGTGTGTAGACAGAAGAAGGGAAAATCACTTTATAAAATAAAACCAAGACATGATTCTGGAATTGTAAGTATTTCACTTTACTGATTTTTAACTTGTTATTTTCTTTGGCTTTTAAATCCTATTTTCGTAATATATACAAACTCATAATATTTTAATTATTTTTCTACTAAGTGTGCATAAATAAGGAGCTTCTGACTTCAAGAATCTCCTTTTTCTTATGCCTTTAATCAGGCCCAGAAGGCTAGGAGTCTTGATATTCGTTATTCAAAACTTAAGAATTAGGCTGTGGGTTGTGGCTCATGCCTGTAATTCCAGCACTTTGGGAGGCCGAGGTGGGCGGGTCATGAGGTCAGGAGATCAAGGCCATCCTGCCCAACATGATGAAACCCTGTCTCTACTAAAATACAAAAAAATAGCCGGGCATGGTGGTGTGTGCCTGTAGTCCCAGCTACTTGGGAAACTGAGGCAGAGGAATCGCTTGAACCTGGGAGGTAGAGGTTGCAGTGAGCCGAGATTGTGTCACTGCACTCCAGCCTGGTGACAGAGTGAGACTTTGTCTCAAAAAAAAAAAGTTAAGATAAATCTACTGAATCTACTGAGGGTGTGCATTTATGTGGATATGTGCATGTTGGCAGGGGCAGGGTGGGGAGACCATCTTTCACTTTCTTTATTACACACAGATCACGGCACAGGCTGTATTTGAGCCATGAGTGATCATTATAGTTGGATTAGCTCCACTGGGATCTGAAACTTGCTGGGAAGTGCCAAGAGCAGTGTGACACTTTGCACAGGGTGCCCAGGGTGCCCAGACCCCGTTTATATCCACAGATGGCTCGGCAGGGTTGGCTACCGGACAGTGGTCAGTCCAGAGGCAGAGTTTAACAAGCTCATTTAAGTTTCATGCTGGCCCATTCCCCGCTTTAAAACAAAATGCCAGCTTGTCCACCCTGGGAGGGAAGGGCTTGGGTGAAATGACAAGGCTTTTCCGTGTGATACTGAGGATGTTTTGTTGACTGCTTTGAGGGATTATCACTTGGTACCACAGTGCAGGTAAATGATGCTGTTTTAAATGAAAAGTTGAGTTAGGCCTTAAGGTAGGACCATTCTAAATTGAATTAGTCTAATGTAGTCTAAAGGGAAAAGACATTAAAATCATATCCCAAGTTGGATATGATTAAATAGCCCTATTTTTTTAAGTTAGGAATTGTATCTTCATTTAGAAGCAATGATCCCTTCAGTTTCTCTGTATCAAAATGATCTTATCTAATGATAACTACTACGTGATAGCTCAGCTTCTTTTTTGCTCCTGTCTGATGCCTCAATCTTATAATTGCATTGAATGAGGAGGAATGGTTACTTATTAGTTAACCTCAATCCTGCTATTGTAAGTACAGAAGATGATTAGAGTACGTTTACCATGAAGTGAAGCAGCTACTTCAGTTTTCACATTTATGTATTTGCATGTAGGACTGAGGATGAGAATGATGAGTTTGACACTCTTTCGTATTGGTTAGAAGTTAAATTTTTAAAACTTTTTTTTCCTCAAAAGTATTTGGCGATTTGTCTTGAAAAAAGTGGTCAAAGATAACACAGAACCCACTTATATTTTTTTTCCTTTATGGATTGGTAGATCTTTAACCTTGTCCCACAGAATTTGATCCAAATAAAAAGGTCCTTTTTACGCTACTCTAAACTCTTCCCATTTTTAAAAGTTCTTTCTAACTATAACTTTTATCTGGTGTATTTGTTTTCAGAAAGCAAAGATAAGCATGAAAACTTGAACAATGAAAAGCAGAATGAAAATGAGTCATTGCAACGACTTTCACAAAATTCAGCTGACCTGAGGGTGGGAAGGAAACTACCGTCATTCTGCTCATGTTTCTTCTTGACCTCTTGCATAATCTTTTTGTTTTCTAGACAGTTCACTAATTGTTGAATTTTACTGTATATTCATATAAAAATACAAAAGTACTAGACCAGTGGAGAATTTGACGCCTTTTCTTTTTGTAAAAGTTTATGGTATTATACCGATAGACCAAAACAGCATGTATAAGAGGCAGTATCTGCACTAATTCTGAACATGCTAAACATTAACTAAAATTCCCTGTTGTGAGAATATTCCTCATCACAGCAAAAACACTTTCCTTTCTACTGACAACCAGTCCACATCACAGCATTTAGACATATGGGTAAAATGTTATTTCTAGTGAATTGTTTGTATCAGTTTCATGTCTACGTGTAAATTTTCTATTTTAAAATTTGAGTACCATTTATAATCAGTGCTTTCCAAACTCTTGGGTTGCTCTCCATAGCTATATATTTGTGAAAGAAGATGGTCATTTTTTTACTGAAGTCATACAATGACTTGAGTCAGCTCATAATGCAAAACGTGATGGTTTTGTATGAGCTGGGTTTTTGGGTTTTTTTTTTTTTTCATTACTTTTAATGATCTTTGTTGCAAGTTACAGTTGTGGATAAAGGGGAGAATTTATTGCTCTTGCAAATCAATTATGGAAAGCAACTTAAGAAAAACAATGTTCTAAATCATAATTGTTTGTATTTATGTAAAGTATGGTCTCTTACTTTTTAGTTTGTAGTTTAAGTGCAAAGGAACAGTAGTGGTTATTTTCCTGTTGTTTTGTAGTCTTCCTGTCCCCTTCAGTCCCTCCAGTGTGTATATTACCATTCTCCAATGAAATAATAGGGCATTTAACAAAGATCGCTATGTGCAATACTGTATTTAGTGTTTCTATTTCAATTTTTCTAGGATGTTAATTTATATGAAAATAAAATGAATAATAAAAGAATAAAGATACTTGCAAAATACAGCTGTCATATTTAACATGGGGTGGGGAATAAGAGAAGGAGGGAAAGTAAGTTAGGCATGCTGCATATTCACCTGCACAAAAAGAAAAAACAAATGTGCCTACACTTTCAGGGACTTAAGAACTTAAAGCCCATCAATGACACCTAAGTAAGAAATTCTGATAAAATATTTATTCCTTTGTGGCTTGAACTAGGATCTCTTCCCTGATCTCCCAAAGACCTTCTGGTCATTTTCAATCGGATGCCTCACCATGCCTTAAAATTCATCATGTGTGAATTGAAACTCAGCTTGTCATCTTCTCCCTCCGTACCTGCTCGTTCTTGTGTATTATCTATCTCAGTGAACAAAGCCACCGCTATTCATTCAGAAACCCAAGTTCATCTTTTGACATGTTACTTATCGCAAATGCATACATTTGTCTCTGTCTTTTCTATTAAAGTCCTAGTTCAGAACCCTCATTAATTCATTGCTCTCATCTTCCAAGATTTGCCCTGCAACATATTTTTAAAATTTGAATCTACCTTTTTCTAAAATACAAATCTGCTCATTTGAATTTCCTACTTGAAGCATTTTAGTGGCCACATACACTAAGACATGTGGCCTCAAAATATTATCTAAGTCTTTAATGTGGCTGACAGAGTCCTAAGCGGTGCCTACTTACCTTTTGAGTTTAGTGTCTTGACTTAAGCTATCTTGAATTCCAGCCTCCAGCCAAACTAAAATACCTCTAGACTAATTTCCTTTCCGCATGTTTTCCCTCAGCTTGAACATTCTCAACATCTCATGGGTTCACTAATGATTGTATCTGAGTTTAGAAAGTGTTTGTTCCAGGACATCTCTTGACACTGGTCTCCCTGTCTCCTAGTGTGTGACAGACTCACTACATATTTACTCATGAAGGCACAATAGCAGTGTTAACTATGCCAGATGCTTCAGGGTACAAGCAGGTTGAAAATGGAATGAAGTCCCTTGTTTGCTGAAAAAGGGTAGTGGTAAACACTAAGGGTAGTGTTAAGGAAGTAGAAAAGGGAGGTTCAGTGCAGATTAATTATAATGAAGACATTTCAGTAGCTCCACGCTCGGAAGACTTTTCTGTCGTTCAAGAAACACTGTGCTGTGAGTTAAGAGTTTGGATTTTTCCTGTTTCCAAGTAGAAAAATAAGATGAAATATATTTTCAAAAGTATAGATGGAGGGTCGGAGGTGGGGGTTGCAAGAGAGTGCATGAACAAGAGGAATCTCTACGGAGTAAAGACAAGTGATCATGCCCCGTTTGTAGAGGGAAACCAAGCCAGCATCACTACCAGAGATGTGGGGCTTACCTACCAGTGAGAATCCACTGAAAACAGCTGCAGAGGAGGCCACAGGATACGGCAAACACTAGCCAGCCAGACACATTGTAGCAGGAGAAAGCAGACTGCACTGGGCCAGCTAACTTCTGAGTCATGTCTGTACCTGCAGTGTCTCTAATGTCACTGACACACAGCTCAGTGCCACCAAGAAAGCCAGGTTCTGGACTAGGAATGGGTGGATGCAATGGAAAATGACCAGACACAGAGAGAGAGAAGAGGAAAAAGAATGGGAGCACTCTCTCAAGACGCCTCTGCAAAACACACATCCAAAGCACAAGAGGAAAATTCTCAAGGAGAAAGAATAAAACAACTCAATAAAGAGCAAAATGAATTCACCTTTAAAATGCAAACAACAGGGCAAAACTTAAATAATAATTATATTTGGAATCTGTAGGCCAGGCGCGGTGGCTCACGCCTATAATCCCAGCACTTTGGGAAGGTGAGGCAGGTGGATTATGAGGTCACGAGTTCAAGACCAGCCCAGCCAAGATGGTGAAACCCCATCTCTACTAAACAAAAATACAAAAATTAGCCAGGCCTGGTGGCAGGCACCTGTAATCCCAGCTACTCGGGAGGCTGAGGCAGGAGAATTGCTTGAACCCAGGAGGCGGAGCTTGCAGTGAGCTGAGATCGCGCCACTGCACTCCAGCCTGGGCGACAGAGCGAGACTCCATCTCAAAAAAATAATAATAAAATAAAATAAAAAGAAGTAACGTCTTTAAATTGTGGAAGGAAAGCAGTGAATTGAGACCATTAGGACCATTAGACCCACCTGAAACATCATTCACATGAAAGGGGAGAGAGAGATTTTCAGACATAGGAAAGGTACAGGAGGTAACTACGCCCAAAGCCTCACTGAAGCGTCTGCTGCGGGGCACATTTCAGCAAGGAAAAAGATGCAAACAAAGTGAGGGCCTGGGATTTAGGAAATCACAGAAACCATAGAAACTGGTGAAATAAAATCAACCCTAGAATGTGAACAGTAACAATTACAACTAATTTTTCATGTTTACAAAGGGCACTAAAATTTTAGATAGTACCAACTTGGGTGGGAGAAATTCAGGGAATAATTCAAACATGCGAAGGGGCATGCACTACTCTCTTCATTCATTCAGTTCAGCAAATGTTTATAGAGTGGTTAATGTGTGCCAGAAACTGGTGTAGGCTTGGGGAGTTGTGGACAAACAAAAAAATGTCCTATCCTCATGGAACTTACGTTCTAATGAGGGAGACAAGCGATGTAAAATAATGTCAGGCAATATAATATTTAAGTAGGATGGCAAATAACATTCTCCAACCAGAATACCATTGAGAGTAAAAGTGAAGCTGTCACACCTGGAAAATCTCCATAAATTGATACCACACCCAGACAAACTCTGGTCACCCTACATATAAGCACTATGTGAGCTTTAAGTGTTATGAAAAGACATAGAAAGACGTATCTCTTTCAAAAAAAAAAAAAAGTGGCCAAGTGTGGTGTCTCACATCTGTAATCCCAGCACTTTGGCAGGCCAAGGCCTTGAACCCAGGAGACAAGCCTGGACAGCTTAGGGAAACCTCATCTCTAAAAAGAAAAAAAAAATTTAATAGCCAGGTGTGGTAGCACTTGCCTGTGGTCCTAGCTACTCCAGAGGCTGAGGTGGGAGGATGACTTGGGCCCAGGAAGTGGAGATTGCAGTGAGTTGTGATCACACTACTGTACTCCAGCCTGGGTGACAGGGTGATACCTTGTCCAAAAACAAAACAGGGAGAAGATGGTAATAATGAATATGTTTGGACTTTGTTACAAAAATATGAAAGTAAATATAAATTAAAAAGTTAGCACTATTCATTAAAAGAACAAAAAGAATTAAAGAAGGAATAAGAAAAAAAACCATATCAACTGAAGGTCAATCCAATCCAACTGAAAGCCAGAAAGGTAAGAAAAAACAAAGCCAAAAAAAAAGTACAGTAAAAAGAGAAGTGACTGTGGATAGTAGGTGGGAGAACTCGAGGGTAGGTGGATGGGAAAAAATTGTTAGAAGCTCTGAAAATCCTGTGCCATCATTCCTTGAACTACAGCAGCCGTCATTAGCATTTCCACTTCCCAGCTAATCGGTGAACTCAGACTTTTGGAGGTTGTATTTGTTTCCTGTAAAACACAGTTAAGTAATCAAAAGCAATAGGAAGAGGTTTAATGTTTCAAAGTGGTGTGACAAAGGGGACATTCACCCCCTTCTCTCAAAAATCATTCCAAAGCAACAAGGAACAAATATGCATCATCTTTGATTTATCTTCAGTTAAAATTAGAGGTATCGAAAACTCAAACCACAAAATATACAGAAGATCTGCCAAATGGATGGGTATGGAAAAAGGCAGAGAAGATGCTCATGAAGACACATCTCAGAAAAAGCAAACAAAGTCTCGTTCTCCAAGGTGAAACCATACCCTTAGGAGGTGTTATCTCAAAATACTTCTCCAAGGTGAAACCATACCCTTGGGAAGTGTTATCTCAAACTGTTTACAGTGATGGACCTTGGTACACCAACTGGTATTAGACACTCCCCTGAATATAGCTTACTATTTTTTTTACATCAGGAAGGATGCCTACATGAGAAATCAGGCTGACAAATCATATTTGCAGGAAGATGTCTATCAATAAGACAAAGGTGGAGGAAGAGACCGCGAATTAGCGTAGTAAATACTAGAACAAGACACGCTCTCCATCCTACTTCACAAATGAAATATTGTCTAGCTTGAAACACAACCCCACTCTCTCCCCAACACAAACTATTCAATATTTGCAAATAGCTGGCAAATAACATTAACACTGCTACCAAACCAACAAAGATTATTTAAGTGAGAATACGATAGGCCAACTTATTGAGGAATAGCAGTGAAAAAAATACTAAACACAGTTAGCAAACATCAGAAGGGCCATGGAGAAGTGGCGGTAATTCCTGGAAGGCTAGGATGATCATATGTGTATTGCCTTGCATATTTTAATATATGTGTATTTAAAAATCATATGCATGTGTGGAGGAAAAAAAAACATGATTTCCTCAAAATGCTAACAAATTATTTAAGTAATTTTTGAAGAAAAAACTCTGAATAACATAAATATGTCCTTGAAGAATCAAATACCTCAAGGTAAAGTCAGCCTGGGGCATCAAGGGGAAGCTTTAGAACTATTTCTGGCCGGACACGGTGGCTCATGCCTGTAATCCCAGCACTTTGGGAGGCCAAGGTGGGCGGATCACGAGGCCAAGAGATCGAGACCAGCCTGTCCAACCTGTTGAAACCCCATCTCTACTAAAAATACAAAAATTAGCTGGGCATGGTGGCTTGTGCCTGTAATCCCAGCTACTCGAGAGGCTGAGGCAGGAGGATCACTGGAACCCGGGAAGCAGAGGTTACAGTGGGCCGAGATTATGCCACTGCACACCAACCTGGGTGACAAGAGCAAGACTCCTCCTCAAAAAATAAAATAAAATAAAAAATTTTTAAAAAGAACTATTTCCATTAAAAATCAGGGACAAGAGCAGGCTGTCTACTTTCACCTGCTATTTATCACTTTTCTGGCAATGAACAAAAAAAGGTACACGATGGAAAAGGAAGAGGTGAAGTTAATTTTTATTTGCTGTTTATTAGATTATATGCTCAAAAA